AAGGACTTGTGTCGCTAAAGTTTCGTCGGAACGAATTTACGGAAAATTAATTAACGAACGGAGACGTAACACCTCTAACGACTGCTGTAATCTCTCTTGTTTATTTTGCTGTTCGAGCTGCTATTGTTGCAGGTTTCTTGCCACTGCTGCAATCTCTCTTGTTTATTTTGCTGTTCGAGCTGCTATTGTTGCAGGTTTCTTGCCACTGCTGCAATCTCTCTTCTTGTTTCTTTTGTTTTTTCTCCAATAACTGTTGTAATCTCTCTTGTTTCTTTTCTTTTTCCTCCAACAGCTGCTGTAATCTCTCCTCTTGTTTCTTTTGCACTTCTTGTATTGCTGCCATCAAATCTGCTAAACTGTAGTTTGATTTGCCACTTCTCGTTTCTATTTTTTTTCTTTTCCCACTCTCTGACACCAATATATTAAATCTTTGGTCGTTTGTTAATTTCCCGTATAATTTCTTTCGGATGAAACTTTAACGATACAAGTCCTTTCTTAAATAAGACTAGTTTATTCTTTCTCAATACAGCTTTGCAATACACTTAATTTCCACGGTTACTTTAACTTAAACACACGCTATATTTCACAATGATACACAGACTTTACAAACGGTCACTACCGCACTTGACTCATTTGTCCGTCTCTATCTCTGCCTGTCTGCAATTATCCATCTCGTCACTTCTTGCTGGTCTTATATATGTAAAAATAGAGGGCATCTGGCACTAGAGTTGCCAAGAACAATCATGGTCCTTCTAGAATCTCTTGACGTGTCACCAGCGTCACGTGACTTCCGCTGTCATAAAAATATTCTTCCTTACTGTAAAAACTGTAACTTGGGATAAAATAATGCTTAGAATTAGTAAGTAAACTCAAAATTAAACTATTAAACAACAATATAAATGGGATACATGTAAAAACAAAACATTTTCTTAATTGCATGTTTACAACAATATATATTCAAGTGCATCCAGCAGTTGTAATAGGTTGGTTAGGAAGAAGTTGCATAAATGAAACTTTGAGCAAAGAAATATATAAAACTGTATGTCGTTTGTCGTTCATTGGAAGTTAAGCCTGCCAGAAGCTCAGCAATAAGTCTGAGGGTTTATAACGCGAACAACTAAGTTTTGATACCCATGGTGAACAAAAAAACAAATATTTGATGGAATGAATTCAGAAGTTTAAAACAAAGTGATAAGCAATGTACGCAAAAAAGACATTTACTCTTGTGACTTTTGTCTTAATCGTAGACATTCTCGAGAGCGTGTTTTTATACATATTCTGCCATTTCTGGTCAGTATCAATATCATGTCACGTCCTATAGTGTATTGATAAGAATGTTTTATATACCTTCTATAATTTTGCATAAGGCTAAGGTCAGTTTGATATTATATACAGATGTTTGTACGTTTTGTTTTGAGAATAAATTAAATATTTCACTTTTTCTTAAATTGCCTTTTTTTATTAGCATGAAATGTAAATGATAGGATAGTAAGTGTTCAGTAAATTACCTTTTTTATTAGCATGAAATGTAAATGATAGGATAGTAAATATTCAGTAAATTTTATTTGTAGAATTTTTTTCTAAGTTCTCAAGCACTAAGCAAAGACTGTTTACAACCCACTATGTATTGTGAAGTACATATAAAAAAATCATTAGAATTTTAAAATATCCTCTAAATTTATGGATGTTATCTTTGCTACTAACATTTAAAAAACTGAATATTTTTGCTGTCGCATTTAGTACAAACTGGAATGCTGCAAGTTTGATTAAAAAAATCCCTTGATACAACAATAATTGTGCATAGTTTTGAATTTATTTCACTAAATTGTTATATTTCAGAAAATGCAGCAATTAATAAGAAATCCTTGTTAGTAGTTATTTAAAACTTTGTGAAAATATATTTTTTGTATAGTATTTAAAAATGGTTCACTTAGTAAATGACTGTAATTGAAAATATATACAGTTTAATGAAGTAAATATGGTACTATAAGTTTATTATACTTGGAATGTTTTATTTATTTTTCATAAGATAGCAGCACCATTACAACTTGTATTTTTCATCATTTCATCCTCATAGTATGTGGCACAAGCATTACTGAATGATATGGAAAAATTGATAGATTTGATTTACTTGTAACAACCTTGTGTTTTATTTTGATATGTGCTTTAGGGAACCATGTTTTATGATGTTTTTTTACTTGATTTCTCAGGGAAGAAACCAACCAGAAAAACTGGCTAATGGTATTTTACTCACTGTAAACTACAGGATTATGGCTGTTGAAAAGGTGTGTATTTTTTATAATATAAATTTTTTTTAAACAAACAAATTTATGCCTATTGTAACATGTCCAGGTGGTTAGGGCCCTCTACTCGCAATTTGCGGGTCACGGGTTCGAATCCCCCATCACACCAAACAAGCTAAAATCAGATTTTGATACTTGTGGTAGGCACAGCACAGATAGTCCATTGTGTAACTTTGTGCTTAACATCAAACAGATGAAGGGGCTTTTTGAAGTCAACAACACAGTGTGATGATAGTAATCCAAGATATGTAATTTTTTAAAAATGAGAAAATCAAGTTTTTATATATTTTTTATAGATAATATATATATATATATATATATACCTATATATTTTAAAGTGAAATGCTAAAACATTTCTTATTCAAATTTAAGGAGGAGGTAGATAAGGATAATTTTGTTCCACGTGTGTAACATCTGTTCTTATGTATTAAATTATACACATAAAAGAAACATAAATTTAAATAATTATAATTTTATAAATTAGGTGGAGCTAGTGAATAGCGATCAAATTCTGTTGGTTAAGCTCAGAAATCCACTTGGAACAAGTTCAGACTATGTGGGAAGCTGGTCTCAAGAGTAAGTATTACATTACTCATTATCAAGCAGTGTTGAAAGGACTGTTCTAAACTGTTTATAAGAGGTTGGATGAATAAAGCAGAAATAAAACATATGATCACATTACTTGAAATTAGACTATGTACAATGTATGCTTTGTACTAGTTGTTTTGGTACACTATAAGTTGACGAAGTACTTAAGATATCAGAAAAATTATGAGCTATTTTTTCTTGTAGTTCATCAGAGTGGAATAAAGTTTCCCCAGAAGAAAAACATAAGTTAGTTTATAGACATCTTGGTGATGGAGAGTTTTGGTGAGTAGTCTATTAAGTGTTCTAAGTAAAAAATATGTGACAATATTTATATGAAAATAACAGAAATTATTGTGTTCCCTTAATTGATCTAATTAAATCTTATTTTTTTAATAGTATGTGATGTTTGCTGTCTATTTCTTTAAACCACTTGAATTGAAACTGCTAAAAATAAAAGTAGATAATATGAAAACAAGATACAACACCCTAAAATATTTTAATTGGTATACTGAATTAGGATTCATATGAACACAAACATTTTGAAAGAAAGAAATGATTGATATCTTGTAAATGTATATGCATGAGATAATGTATGAGTGGTTGTTAATTAAGTGCATGTTTATCAATGTACTGTACAGATATTTAGATGGGATGAGACATATCATAAATATAATTTACCAGTTCTGTTGAACTTTTCTCATTCAGGATGAATTATCAAGACTTTGTGAAAACTTTCACAAGTTTAGAAGTTGTAAATTTAGATACAGAAACAAGTAAAGATGAGCCTACTTTACGGACTAAAATTCCATGGCACATGAAACTCTGTCATGGACACTGGCATCGAGGAGTTTCTGCAGGTGGATGCAGAAATAATACAGGTATGTTTTATTTATGTTATTACAGCTAAAAAAAAATATCACGAATTAAAAAAGTTTCTAAAGACAAAGACTTAATCCAATGCTGAAAATGTAACTTTCAGTATGTGGGTCAAACCAGAACAACTATACAGAAATGGTTTAATGACTACAAATCTTCAATCAACATGAACAAAGAACTTTTGATCACAAAACACTTTAACATGCTTGGCCACACTCTTGAAGACATTAAACTGTCAGGCACAGAGACAAATTTTACATCAAATAGAAATAGGAAAATTAAATCATCTACAAATACTACTAAAACTTGGTAGGTATTTTGATTATAGAGATGTAAGTGGCAAGGTGGGTTTTTCAGATAGCGGCAGCATGTTGATGAGAATTAAGACTGAATGGTGCAAGATTATAAGGGATCTGGATTAACGAGGAGTATTTGATTATGGATAGTGTGGTTCAATTAGCTATTGAATTCATATCAAGATAGTTGGAATAGCTGTGATTAAAGAAGCTTGCTGGATAGCACTGTTAAATACTGTAATGCTGAATGGCATCAGTTTTGATGCTGGGATTGTTGGGCTTCGTATACCTCTTAAGAAAAATAATTCCAGAACGAAATATGTACTTAAATTTACTTTGTACTATTATCCATATTTTTATTCATGTTTTGATTTCTCTATATTGGTATTATTTCCTATATGTTGCCTCACATTATCATTTTCTCTAATTCCCAGCCCCTTTTGTTTTTTATTTTTCTATTATTACTTTTATGTCTCTCATGTAATGTACACATTTCTTTTGTACAAGCTAAACCTGACACAATTGTCTCCAGTTATGATTGGCTAGGCTTCAAGGCCAATTCATCTGGAATATCTGTCGATATCTGTTCTTATATATTGCATTGTACTCACTAATCATCACCTTTTATTCTCCTGAAGAAGAATAGTCTACTATTCAAAAATGCTTGAGTTTTGGGTCTTTTTTGGTAATTTTAAAGTACCATAACTTAACATAACATTTTGGGTCAACATGGGACCTATTGCTTCAAATTGGCCATTCCATCCTCTAAACTAAATTAAAATAATTAAAAAATAATAATCTTAAAG